AGTAAAGATAAAGATTACAACAAATCTCAGGCATGCTCTTGCGATGAGTGCATGGATGAATGCGAAGCAGGTAAGTCGTTGCTTGTTGCTTTCCTATTTGCAAAAATGAAGAAGACAACAACATGGATCGTACCCTTTTCACGCGTTCAAATCATTTCTGAAATATTCTCAATTATATGTAAAATGATATATCGTTCGACTTGCTACCTTTTTGTTTGCACCCAATATTTTTATTCAAGAGAAAGAATGAAAACGAAAAAAAAAAGTAAACTAAAAAATGATGATGTTTTTGATGTATTTGCTGCATTGGGTGCGATTCTTTGGCATTAATCTTAATAAATGAAATCCCAATCCATTCAATTTCAATATTTTCCATTTTAATTGTAGCAAAAAATAAAGCTTTACGGAAATTGCGCTACTTGATGCAAAAATACAGCGGTGAAAACTAAAAACTCATGGCAGTTGTAATGTATGTACACAAAACAATTCCAAAAATAGGCGCACGGTGGCCTATAATGGTCGATTAAGTCATGCTTCATAGAACCGACCAAACGATCCATACCCTGGTACTTTAAGTGGAAGTGGTGTGAATAACACGCGTACCCAATGCCCGGATAGTTATCATACGCGATTTATGAGATTAAAACAATCTTGCGATACTCAACAGAATAAAGTTGATGCTTACCGTCTTTCCAAGGCATGCGATCGCTGAGTTCGGGCATCGTTACAGCCTGATGATAATCGGATCTCTTGTGTTCGAGTCGACAGCGAAGGTACAACGAATGCGTTATAGGACGATAAATTGGATAACGTCGCAAATTACATAGCGTATCTGTAGCAAGTTTTTGGCTAAATTCCGTCTTATTATGAGTATTCTTCACTCGACAAGCGTATTCTGACGTACTTAATATTTTGTCAATATCTTTGTGGCTGGACGAAATAATAGCTATTATTGAAGATTTAGTGCGACCACCCATCAATTCTTGTGGTGTATGCGTCAACTTCATGGTATGGTACCTGCAAGACACGTATTTTAATCGTCTTGTATATGTGCGCTGTTTCGGGCGTTCCAAAGGGATGCAACGAAGGCAATTTATTTGCTTTATGAAAAATTCAGACCACTTAATGCGCGCGGGAACGTCTTCCTGTAGAATTGAAATTGTCCAAGAAATACGCTTTAATCGTTGTTTTGAAGTAGTAGCGTCTGTAGTAGCGACACTAATTAAGAGGATATTGGTTACAATTGTACAGTTTTTGCTTATGGGCAAACAGGCACAGGGAGCACTAATACCATGGTAGGCACGGAATGTGCCGAATTGGAATCCATATTGATTTTACAATTCTGATATTAGCCTAGAAGCTTTGGGTAATTACTTTAATAAAAGGAATTTCCATGGCGTCGTTCTTTCTTGAAAGTATGTAATGAAAAGTTTTACGGACTGCTATACTCGAATAACTGTACGAAAACATGTATTTCGAATTATAAGCACAACGTAAGATGCGGCTATTATACAAGAATTGGATCATAGTACATACCAAAGGCGACATTTCCAAACTAGTGAGAAAATGTAATGAACGTGCATACGATGCTCTCTTAAAAGCTAATTTGATTAGTTTTTAAAACTAAATTTAATTATTCACTTTTTTCTTTTTTTGGCTTTAACCTTGAGTTCTAGAATATAGGAATGCGATATATACTAAATTTATCATTTCCTAAGAATTTAAATTGTCCTGTCTAATGTGTATTGATATGAGAAAAACTGCATGTGAGCGCGATGACTGAGCATTCATTGAATTGGTCGCTGTTTTCCCACTAGTTTTGAAACGTCATCTTTAGTATGTACTGATACCTTTCCAGTGCTTGTATGATAGCTGAATCCTTCTTTGTGCTGTCATGAAAAATAAGTGTTTTAGTGTTTAGTCCGACGAATTCTAACACGTGTAATCCATCAAAGAAATGAACCAAAGCTCGTGACATTATGACAATATCGTAGTCAAAATCGTGATCCTAAAATCCATTTTTTTGATTTCACATCTTTCTTTTTTGAAATTTACATCATCGCCAGTGGATTTCGATTGATCACATTCCTTACCCACTATGATATGAGTATTGCCTGCACCAGTTTGACCATAAGCAAACACCGACCAGTTGTAATCAGCTAATATTGCCGCAATTAATGGCATACTGATGAGTAGACTTCTGGATGGAATTGATATTCTACGGAAGGACATGCTACGATCTTCTTGGACGGCAAATCTTTGATCGTTTCAGCGGAACATGGAAAGTTCTCACGTGCATTAAATGGTCCGAAATTTTAATAAAGCAAGTAAATTTGCCTTTGCTTTATCCTCTCAGGCTTACAAAACATTGTACTGCGCACACACACCTTCTTACGTCCATAAACCTATATATTTTGATCAGTTTTGTTGTGCGCTTGGTTAGCAGCTTAGTACGAAAGATTTATTTTGATCTAAATAATTTTATTATAAATAACATCATTAACTTTAATACTTGTATATTTTTCGCTTTACCAAACAGAATTGCGCTAATAAAATGTTATGAAAAAAAAAAAAAAAGAGGAAAAGATGTTGCCAGATTTTTTTTGGCGAGCCTTTTTTGTTATAATTCCATATTACCGTTCCATACCATATTCCAGTTATTTTCAGTCAATTATATATAATGGGTTTTCTTTGGACATATAAGCCGCAAATTTATTGACCTGGTCCATCTTAACTTAACATCCCAAATAAAAAGAAGAGGGAATTCTTCATTTCTCCAAATTAAACGAAGTGTACTTTTGCAAATGCTATTAATGCGCAGTGATTGATTGCAAAATTCAAGAGTGAACCGATAACTTAACGGAGAAGAATATCGGCACATTTTCTTTGTAAATATTATTGTGATTTATACGTGTCTTTACCTTAAAGTAAATTTAAAACATAAAATGGTTAACAATAAAAATTCAAGGGTAAAAGTGAAGCAAAAATCGCAGATGAAAACAAAATCCAAGCATATATCATATAAAAATCGTCTTGAAGATCACGCTCAGTTTAATATAGAACAACAAAACAAAAATGTAGGTATACATAGCTGTACCAAGGTATAAATCAGTAATTAAACAAATAATAATACAATACATTTTCCATATCCATAAATAAATATCCAGTGTCTAAGTTGCTTGTGAATAACTTGCTCTGTCTCTCTCTTGTTTTAAATAATCTGGTTGCACTGATTATTCCAAGGACTTTTAATTGTTTCCAAAGTGTTGGTAGGTTATTTTTTATATTTTGGCTAGATTGATCTGACACAAACCTTGTCCATTATGCAGTTAAAGCATTGAGAGTTTATCATTACGTTTTGGTACCATTCATTTGATTGTAGCAAATTATTTCATACTTTTCTGGTTGCACCGAGCTCTGCGGTGTTCGTGTTTCAGAAAAATTTCGCCTTTCAATCGATTTTTGTACACGATCGGGATCAGTCTATAATTTTCTGCAAATTGTACATTAAAAAACTTCATACATCTACAAGTAGTACAAGTAAGTGCAGACAATCAGATGTATGTAATTTTAGAAACTTGTTATTATTGATGTTACAAAAAATAATTGAAAAAAAAAAATCCGCATTATTATTTGAAACATTTGATAAATATTTAGTTTTTCATTTACCTTCTTTTCTTTTAGAGAAAATTTCAAAAAATAGAAGAACAAAAGGTGTTACGTTCCCAAAAGGCTTTAGAAATAGCGGAAGGACGAGCAAAAGAAAGAGCAGAAAAGGAACGAAGGATAGAGGCGTCTAAAAAGAAGCGCTTAGAAAGGACTAAAATCTTCAGCAAAAGGACGCGAAATGGCCAACCTCTGATGAAGGATCGTATGCAGTTGCTGTTAAAACAAATTCAAGAAATGAAAAATTATGGCTAAAACAATTTGAACAAACAAGGTTGCGAGAAACTTGAATACAGTTTTGTTTTAAGGTCTTTTCCGAAATAAATATTTATTTTATATTGTAAACGGTAAATTCATCACCTACTTCCTTAAGGTATTGCATTACTAACTACCCGTAATGATTGCTGGCGCACCAATAATTCATAAAATTTTCCTTTGGCAGATCAAAGGTTATAAATAGACAAGAACGTCCTTATGATATAATTTGGTACTACAAAATGGAACCGATATGAACTCATTTATTCATAATAAGGATGAGTAGGCAATCTCTGCCGATGTGTCTACCGGATATCATGGGTACTATCGTAGAAATTTGGTCTTAAACTTTTCTTTCACATCAGGTTAGCTTCTCGAAAACCGTCTAACGTAGTACACGGGCTTCATCCAAAATCAGTAAAACGATGATCACTATCATTTGTTCTATGTTTTGGTGTCAAGTTATTGTTCTTAAAAAAGTTTTTACTAAAATGATTGGGTCAGGTTTGACCACCAATTCAATCGGATCAGATTTAGCGAAGAATAACATATAAATTTCCCTTAATGTGTACTTATGGCCGTTAGTTTGCGCAATTAATAGTAAGTTGGAGTCAAATTGTACAGGAATATGATATGAGTATAGGCGATTCTGCATATAAGGTATTCCGAGTGAGTGAGTGGATCTTCACTCTATATTCTGCAACCAAATATCGTACATAAAGTGAAGGTAGGCTAATTCGGACGGAGCCTTTGATTTTGAATTATATTTGGTAAAGCTTGGCAACTACCAACCCTTGGGTAAAAATGCAGAAATAACTTCGCTAACGTTTTCGGGAAGAGTTTTGCAATATTTCACCGAAAATCACTTATCACATTTTATACCACCAGTTTATCTTCTCATATCCACTATCGAAGGGAGGGATGCACTACTTATCCCACAACGTTTGCGACACCCAAAAGCGAAGTTCAGCATGTCAACATCTGTGTACTGTATGTGCTAAGCGTTCAACTGACCATGAACATGACGAGATTGCCTTCCCACTTGAGAAAAACATTGGAAGTAGTTGCACAGGTTGGTATGGGAAATGGGCCAAATCCGTTGGAGGACACGCCCTCAGCACCACATAAACTAAGAACACCTCTGTTTTTCGAAAAGAATAAAAAAAATTGACTTTTGGCCCATTACTCATAGCCAATGTAGCCGACAAATCTGTGAAAGTGTGAACGTATTTTGCATGGGAGACGCTGCAGTACTTGTTCAAAAATGAGACAAATCGGCCGCGCCTACCCAATATAGTGTATCGCACTCAAATTCGTTTCTTAATGTCTTCCAAACGTGCAGGAGCAACCTTCAAACTCCCGTAACGGTTAGAAATTCTTGGCCAGTTTCAAATTCGGAACGCACCTAAGAATTTCCCTCTGTCCATGCGTCTGTGTGCTCAAATATATAATGTGTAGTATCTGCGCTAAATATTCTCCCGTTCGCAAAAATGAATAGATCGACTGCAAATCTACAAAACAATTTGAAAATGGTCCAAACAAAGAATAATATCGTAACACCTAAGTACGAGATTTCAGAATTCACCGTTGCGTAGATAGAACGGCGTTTATTGACCTACATTCTG